ACAACAACACATGTGAGGATGGTGGGGCTCGAGCAGCACTTTGTTGGGTTGTGCAAGGGGTCACTCTGAATGGGAACTGACCCAACAGCACCTAACAGCAAAAACAGTTGTAAAACCTACTTACGTCAAAAATTAAAAGAGGAACAAAGGAATCACAACATTCTTGGAGAAACTCTTGTGGTATCTCTTGTGGTTGTTTGTATTTACTCTTCCATTCAATATTTAATCAATTAACAAGCAGACCTGCTAACCTTGAAAACATATTCTGTTTGTCTACTTTTCTTTCTCTCATGCCTGCAGTTCAAGCTGTTGCTTTGTCCCTCCTGAATTACAGCATAAGCTCTAAAGTGGTTTCTCAGCTTCTACCCTGACTAGCCATTTTGTAGACATCAGGCTGTATAATCAGAATGTCAATCGGATAACGCCATTCCTACTCCAAAGGCTTCCAGTGCAGCAAGAATAAACTCCAAATCCCAGGGATCTGATGGTCACTCAGGCAAGCTTGCATTTTCCCTTAATGCTACATGACAAATGTCACTCAGAGATCCTTTTCTCCTAGACCGTTTCATGTGAAGCTCACGTAAACCCTGCCCATTGTAGTCCATTACTGGGAGAAAGGCCAACTTGAAATCATGAACATCTTAATTACTAATTGTCTTAGGTTAAGTTCTTGACACTTAAACTTTCCTACCACACATGTAATGTAATTTTCAAGTGATATAGCAAAAGAAATTAATCACATGCTGAACTCTAGAAATTCTACTTAAATGGATATAAAAGCACATCCAAATGTTCTTTGGTTTGATTGCTGTTGGTTACAGGTCATAAGTTTACCCAGTTCCCCTAATAATCCTACCTGCTAGAGTAAGCTAGTATATATATTTACAACTTTGGAAGAGTGAGATTCTGTGCAGTCATTTATCAGTAAGAGCTGATTTCTTGTAATTATGTGGGTCATGATAAGAAGAGCATGAAGATCAGAATTAATTTAAAAAATAGTTCCTTTTTATTACATTTCAAAGTTAGGATAATTTGGTAATTAAAGTTCAGCGATTTTATTAGTTGCTGTTTGTTTTTCCTTGCTAAGAGTTATATACATATCATCTCATTAGAATATTCAAGAGAAAAAAAATACCCTTGAGAGGGAAAGGGGTAATTATTATTATATTATTATCACTCTTTTTGAAGATGAGGAAAATCAGGTTTGAGATGTTGTCTTAGGTTTGTTGTGAGGTAACTGTAAGAATCCAGGAACATCTCTTAATCTTCTGTTCTGCTTTTCATTACCCCACATTTTGACAAGCATGTTCTGTAGGAAGGAGTCCACTTCTATACCTGCAGCTCCTTTTTAGCCAAGAAACCCAAGGCTCTTTTCCTGAGCCTTAACTGGCCAACAATCAATCATCTAAAGCAGCGGTTCTCAACCTGTGGGTCACGACCCTTTTGGGGGTGGAATGACTCATTCACTGGGGTCGCCTAAGACCATCGGAAAATAAAATTTACATGTTGCCTACCTTACCTGATTTCTTTGAGGAGCATGATATTGAATCAGACAAAAGGAATACGATGATAATTTCTGTGAAAGAACACTCGCACATGCTTACAGACAAAATTTCATTGCACTTTCCAAGTCTACCTGACACCCCATTTGCACTTGTCAGAAGTTGATTCACAGTCAGAGTTGAAGATGTTCCTGAGATAGCACATGAGGAGTTGATTGAACTTATTAACAGTGATGCAGCGAGAACTGATTTCTCTACCATGCCAGTTACAACATTCTGGATCAAGTGTTTGTAGTCATAGCCTGTTCTGTCTGAGACTGTGTTGCGCCTTCTTTTTCCATTTCCAATAACATATCTTTGTGAAACAGGGTTTTCCAGCTTGCTGGTTATCAACTCTAAATTCAGAAGTAGACTTGTTGTGGAAGATGATCTTCGTTGTGCTCTTGCAAAGACTGCCCCAAGAATTTCTGATCTGGTGAGAAAGAAGCTATCTCAACCTTCACACTGACTCTGGCTTTTTACTGCTGCAAAATGTAGCAATGTGGTTTACTGTTGTTATATTAAGACTGTTACCCATGCTACACCATGCTTCAAGACAAAATTTCATTTATTTGTAATTAGAAATTAATATTTCACAATGTATAATTACATATTATTTTTGTGATTAATCACTATGCTTTAATTATGTTCAATTTGTAACAATGAAAATACATCCTGTTAAAAAACAAACAGAAAGAAAATACAACCTGCATATCACATATTTACATTATGATTCATAACAGTAGCAAAATTACAGTTATGAAGTAGAAACAAAAATAATGTTATGGTTCGGGTCACCACCACATGAGGAACTGTATTAAAGGGTTGTCGCATTAGGAAGGTTGAGAACCACTGCTCTAAAGGGACTTCATCTTCCCTTGCCATCACAACCATAAAAACAAATAGACATCAAACTGTTCTGTGAGAAGATTTTAGGCAGAAAAGGAATGTGAATTTTAACGTGTCAACACGTTGAGGTTATCTTGCTGACCCTACTCTCTTAGAACCACTTTCACATTTTTGGCAAATATTTCTAGTGTAGACTGCAGGACCCATATTTGAATAAAAGCCAGCAGCAAGTGAATTTAATGAAACTTAACTTCTTTGAATAGGCATCTTTGAAAATATAATGTAACGTTATGGATTTTAAACACCGAAAATACACTATACATACAAGGGGGTAGCCCCCCCCCCCAAACTGGAACAAAGCTCTGTTGGGTATAACTTTCTTTCTTTTATGTTTGTTTGTTGATTTTTAAATCATTTTATTGGGGGCTCGTCCAACTCTTATCACAATCCATACATCCATCCATTGTATCAAGCACATTTGTACAGTTGTCGTCATCATCATTTTCAAAACATTTTCTTTCTACTTGAGCCCTTGATATCAGCTCCTCATTTCCCCACTCCCTCCCCTCCCCTCCCTCCTTTCCAAACCCTTGATAATTTATAAATTAGTATTCTTTTTTTTATGTCTTACACTGACCGAGGTCTCCCTTCACTCACTTTTCTGTTGTCCGTCCCTCAGGGAGGGGGTTATATGTAGATCCTTGTGATCGGTTCCCCCTTTTTCCTCTACATTCCTTTTACCCTCTTGGTCCCGAAGGGTGTATCTGTCCTGGATTCCCTGTGTTTCCATCTCTTATCTGTACCACTGTACATCTTCTGTTCTAGCTGGATTTGTAAGGTAGAATTGAGATCATGATAGTGGGGGTGGGGTGGGGGGAGGAAGCATTAAAGAACGAGAGGAAAGTTGTATGTTTCATAAGTGCTATACTGCACTCTGACTGGCTCGTCTCCTCCCCACGACCCTTCTGTAAGGGGATGTCCAGGTGCTTAGAGATGGGCTTTGGGTCCCCACTCTGCACTCCCCCTCATTCACAGTGATATGATTTTTTGTTCTTTGATGCCTGATACCTGATTCTATCAACACCTCGTGATCACACAGGCTGGTGTGCTTCTTCCATGTGGGCTTTGTTGCTTCTCAGCTAGATGGCCGCTTGCTTACCTTCGAGCCTTTAAGACCAGGGCGGCGCTTTCTACGTACATATTCTTCCAGCAAGGCAAACATCGAGCAACTCACTCTGAATTAGTGTACCAGTGGCATTGCCTGGACCGTTCTCTCTGGTCACAGTTAATTTTTTGGTAAAAGCAGTTTCAGCCATACCTCATTTTTTGTGATGGCTGATTTAAGAGAAAAGTGTGCAGCTGTGAAATGATGTTTCCTGGTTGGGAAAAATGCAACAGAAACTGTTGTGATGTTGAACACAGCTTACAAGGATAATGCTATGGGAAAAACTCAAGTGTATAGAGTAGTTCTCTCTTTTCAAAAAAAGGTGAAATGTTGATTGATGACAGACCTTGTTCTGGATATCCGTCAACTTCCTGAATGGATGAAAATGTACCCATAGTGCATTTGGAATTCGTTCCACTAGGTCAGACTGTTAATTAAGTTTTCTATTTAGAAGTTCTGAAATATTGCCTAACAATGCGAGACAAAAGCCTGATTTGTGGCAAACAGGAGACTGGTTTTGCCACCACAACAAATGTGCCTGCTCACACAGCCATCCTGGTGTGCCAGTTCCTGGCAAAAACCAGCATGCTTTTCTTGCCCTGTGAACCTGACTCACCTGACCTCACTCCATGCGACACCTGACCTCACTCCATGCGACTTCTGTTCGTTTCCAAGAATGCAGAGGGGCATTAAAGGACAACAATTTGACAATGTAGAAGAGGTGAAGAAAAAAAACACGAGGGAGGTGTTATCAGCCATCCAAACAGATGAGTTTGAAAAGTGTTTCCAAGAATGGAATTGCACATTTGACAAATGTATTAAGTATAATGGAGAGTACTTTGAAGGTGATAAGGTGGTATTGTTAAAAAAAAATTAAACACATAGTTTTGAAAAAAAATCTATTTTGGTCGCGGGGGTGGGGGTGGGTGGGTGGGGTGCCCCCTGGTAAACAATACATTTCCTTAAAGCTTTTATTGGGCATCCACAACAAGTATTTTTCCAATCTAGATAAGAGAAAGGACATTGGACAAAACCATTTCAGAAGACATCTTCTTCCACATAAATTAGACAAAAATCCAAGTCTCTGCTGTTTCAAATCATAATTTTGACTTGAGAAACAAAGAGAGACGCTGAATGCTTGAGAGTTTTAGTCCCATGAAGTTACAATGGAAAGGCTTTGCAGCCTGGATTGTGCTATGTGTGATACCCCACTGTCTCAAAGTTTAATTTTTGGGTTCAAGAGTCTTACACGTCTCTTAGGGGAACCAAATGAAGTGAATTATTTGCAGTGCTATGGATGGTTCCATCTCGTTTTATATCATCTTCCACTGGCACTGAATCTCATCTGTGAGCTACAGAAAGTGTGCCAAGTAACATTTACTTTTTAAAGTTAAATCATTTATAATTGTAATCTTTCAGAAAATATGATTCATAGCAGCTCTTACCTCATCGGAACCCGATCCAAAAATCAGTAAGTCAAAAGGAATTGCGGCCACCATGTCAATCAGGAACCAGCCTTTGAAGTAGTGTATTGCTATTCTGGCCGGATCACTTACCACTTCTTCATTCTGATTTACGTATGTCGTTCGGAAGTTTATTAGAATATCTATGATAAACATAATATCCACAATCAAGTCTACCACATTCAGAGGGCTACATGAATAGCCACATTCACGTCGTTTCTGTTCTTCTCGGTCATTGAGGAGGAAAGCTGCAGAATAGGGCGTGAATATGGCTGTGTAGATGACCAACAGCAGAATAAGCCAATCCCAGACTGCCTTGAAAGGGCTGTAGTGCAGTATCGTAAACTTGTTGATGCGTGGCGTCTGTAGTTTATACTCCGGCAGGACATCTGCTCCTAAAGAGAGAACCTGAGTATAGAAAAGAAGACCATATGCCACATAAAAATGTCATGATTTAATCTAGCAAACTCCTAAAAACATTAGGGTAATTTGCAGCAAAATTTACTAAAAAGTATTCGTGTCATTTTGAAGTATATAAGAAAAGCCCCAATGCATTTAGAAGAGCCATATAACTTCCAGCTAAGCGCTATACTTGGTCCAGGCAAACCTCATCGGTGTAGCTTGATCAATCTGCATTATACTGAAATATAATGACTGATGTCACAGAGGTGGTGAGCAGTCGTTATTGGCACCTTTGGAACATAACAGTATTCAGAAATACAAATACATGACTGTTTTAGAAAACCATAAATTAGGTTGATACATGAGCAATTCAGTTTGAACCCCAGCAATCTACTCTGATAATCTTGATAAATTACACCCAACTCTTTCAAATACTTAATGTAGGAGAACTTCCTAAATTTGTCTTTAACATGTAAAATGACAAATGTAATGAAAATAAACACATAGCAGGGTTTTTTACTTTCCTAAAGAAGCTGAAGAGAATATTTTTGTGTTCTTGGATAAATATGTACTTTACATCAGATTCTCCATGCACATCGAGAGAATTGCAAAAGGAGAATGATTCAATATGATGCTCAGAATATTGATCGGGGAATGTTGCAAAATTCTTAGGCACCCCGAAATGCTTAACATCTAAGATTTATTCTACTTAACAAGGCATGGGAGAGACTTAAGTATTTTGCAATCTAGAGGTTTAGCTCATCTGAAAAAATAATAGCTAAAATTCAATTGTGGCTTTATCAAGTAGAAAAGAACTTGAATTTCTAAAGTGAGTTTAGAACAAAAACATTATCTAGTTACCTAGTAAATATAATTACTTTAACTAATATGTCATTTAACACATTTGTTTTTTGTTAGCTCCTCAAAGGGGAGATAGATTATAATCTAGCTATGAATACCCTATGTATCATCATATGCCGTGGTCTTAATTTCATTCAGTGCATTTTCTTCGACTAGATCCTTGTAAACTCAGCTAACACATTATCAGCTTCGCAGTATGGGTCCAAGGTAACCCTCCAAAGGTTAGTTAAGGAACATTATTTCTCTTTTCTTGGTAATTCTGCCCCTTTTGCTTTTAACTTGTTTATAGTAAATTTTTATGTCAGATAAATTTCAATTTATATCTTATTTTCTGTGCCATATCTAATTTTTTCAGTTACCAAACCTAGGGTTCAGCAAGATATTTAAATATAGCTAAACAAGAGAATAGCTAAAATAGGAAATAGCGCACACACACAAATCTAGAAATAATGACAATGAACTATTTTATAGCATACACACACAATACACACAATGTAGAACTAAAGTCAGTAAACTATTTTTGATGTTAAAAATCCCCAGAACTAAAAATCAAGGCATACTTATAAATGGAGGACTTTCAAAATACAAATAAGAATACTATTTGGATTGTCTGACATTTGATAAGAGCAGATTAATATCACAGTCCATGTAAGACATTTTGGTCTACAAGAAAGCCTATCATCTCTTAAGGAAGCATTATGTAACTCCCATTTTCAAAACCCAGCAGTGGCTACTCAGCAAGATGAAAAACATTCCAAACCTTTTCCTGACTCTCCAAGTTTTCTGACATGGGACCCATTTTGTTTTAGGCCCCTCTCCCATTAAATTCCTCTATGGACCCAGTGTCCTTTAGGGAAACAGACTACAGGGGTCTTTTCAAAGCCCCCAATACATATATATACACCTCTTAATGAAGGATCAGCTAAAAAAATAATAACAAGTGTCTTTTTAGCAGAAAGGGATTTTCGCCTGAGCTTGCCATGGTATCAGTGACATGCTTCTGATACCAACCAATCTCCCAGGCAGGAAAATGCAAACACCCATTTTAGCAGAAGTACGTATTAGAATGCATCAAGCCCCTGGGCGCTGCCCTGACGGAGGGGGGAAACCTGTTGATGAAACACTTTCCATTCCTCCTACATAGGCATTCATCAATGAGGTCTGGGGGCACAGAGGTTAAGAGGGGCTGCTAATTAAAAGAGGTCAGTGGTTCGAACACACCAGTGGTTCCTGGGAGAAAAGATCTGGCAATCTGCGTTCTTGACAATTACAATCTGGGAAACCCTATAGGGCAGTTCCGCTCCATTTTACAGGGTTGCTGTGTTCTAGAGCAGCGGTTGTCAACCTGTGGGTCGCGACCCTTTTGGGGGTTGAAGGACCCTTTCACAGGGGTTGCCTACGCCCATTGGAAAACACATAAATATTTGACAATATATAATTACATATTATTTTGTGATTAATCACTATGCTTTAATTATGTTCAATTTGTAACAATGAAAATACATCCTGCATTTCACATATTTACATCACAATTCATAGCAGTAGAAAAATTACAGTTATGAAGTAGCAATGAAAATAATTTTAGGGTTGAGGGTCACGACATGAGGAACTGCGTTAGGAAGGTGGAGAACCACTGGTCTATAGGATCTGACTCCTCAAAGCAAATAGCTGGAAAGTTGGGATCACTTGAGATGTTGGAACAGGCTGTAATGACAAGGTATCTCACTATATATCTATCCTCTATCTATGTATCATCTATCTCTCTATCATCTATCTACCTGTCTTCTGCCTGTGGTCTCTCTATGGTCCCTTTGAGTGGGCGTACCCTGTGTTTATTTTTAGCAGAGTAGCAAGATTTCTCATGTGAAACCTCAGTACTTACAAGAAGTGGAGACTTGTAATCCTCTTAAAATTCTAGAACTAGTGCAGAAGCACCTCTATCATATTTTATTGGTCATAGCAGTCTAGTACATCCAGATTTGAAAAAAAAAAAAGGTTTCCATATCTTGATGAAGAAATGGCAGGTGTATTGAGGAAGGAAATGATTTAATTGTATTCAACTGACAGACAAGTTATCACAGGAAGTATGGACAATTATTATCTTCAGGCGCGATCATAATAATGTTGCGTATGTTTTAAAATTTATCCTGATCTTTTAGGGGTGCATAGTGAATACTGATGGGTGAAATATGGAGTTGGCTTTGATATAATCTACAGTTGGGTGAGCAGACAGGGAGAGCATTGCTGGTTATATGCAACAAAAATGACTGCATATTGATTATTGTTGGATTTGGTTGATGGGTAAATATTATTTACTTTATAATGTATTCATAATTTTTCAATAAAGAGTGAAGAAACAATTCTTGAATTTCAGTCAAAAATTCTAAGCCAAAAGTGTCTAAGATATTATAAGCGATAAAAAGCCATTTCTTGATGGAATAAAAACAACACTGCAGAGACTTGCCCCTATCAGAACTACTTTTCTCTCTGTATATTAGATTCATTTTATATAGACCTCCACTCAGTCATACAAACTGGACACATTCTTAACTTTACTCGAGCTTGAACTGTTTGTTATTAAATTTCCATCAGCTTGATGGCTAGGCCAATCACATTACAAGAGATTGTAGAAGCACATGCTAAGTCTATAGATACTGATGCCGCCGAGCATACTCAGCAGCGTGTTTGGCCTCATATTGAAATTTACTTTATTAGTGTTTCATCAAGTGTTTAATTTCAGACCCCCTCCCAGAACTCCCACTAAATGGCAAGTTTGTGTTGTTTAAAGTCTTTTCTGTAAGGATTTGCATTACACTCTTCATTGAAAATCCATTACAAGAAGAAGAAGGAGAAAAAAGCATTCCTTTTGAGGAATCAAAACAATTTTTCACAAGCACTGATTTTACTTTTAACTGACAATTAGAATTATTTAATTGACTTCAGGTTTTTATTGCCTCCTTGCAGGAGGGAATATTAGTCTGGGATTTCGGGAACCACATTTCTGTTGCCACTTTACTTCTTTCAATGGCTCCTAGTTCCATTTTCATGTCAAGTCTCCGTCTACTTTTTCAAGTCACCTCACTGATCCTTGGAGAATACAGAGGAGATGTGTCTAAACCATACATTAAACGTTAGCTATCATGACAGTACTGTGGAAATGCAAAAGGCTAAATTAAAAAGTATTCCTATAAAAGCATAGCAACCTTAATGAAATGACAAAAACAATCAAAATATGAAGCGACTGTGTCTCATCATATCCTCCCCCATCCCGGAGGATGCCCTTCGGAAGGCAGAGTCTCTGGACTCTCACCCTTGCCTAAAGAACTGTGCGCAGCTCGGCCTCCCCAGGGACCCAAATTGTGTTCCTTTCACGCGCTCTTTGAATTTTGAAACCAAAAAAATTCTGAAGGAGGAAGATCCGCGCTGTGGAGTTGATGGGGTACACTTTTCCCAGAGAAATTCTCGTAGGACAGCTCATGCCTAAAGGATGAACGACTGAAGTAAGGTCACTGGTGTGATAGGAAAAGAAAAACTCTTAAGGCAACGTTTCTGGTCTTTTTCTCACCAACAGAGTTTTCAATGTTCTTAAAATTTCTTCCTAATAAGCCCCCCAAATGATCCTGTACCCTTCAAGTAAATCCATCAGGATTACCTTTTGGAATTGGAAAACCAGTTATCATCACCCAGGGAGCTGACCTCTCTTCCTTGAATGAAACTGGCCCCGTAGATGCCTTGGAAGGCATTGTTCTGATTAGACCTAGCAATCTGGGTTCTATTTGTAAACCTAGGACTCATCTTCAGCTGCGCTTCATTTCATAAGATCATCTTCATTAGCTCCAGTCTGGCATAAAAGACTGATGGAAACATCGGCGCTTTGAGTTACCTGATCGTTATCCAACCTTCTTTTTCAGTCATTTTTTTAAAAAGCAACCTAATGAGACTAAGAAAAGTGTGCTCATAAGAGAACCTGTCTTTAGTTATCCACTAATGGCATGGGGATGCTTAAATATGTTTGGCTTGGAATGAATATGTGCATGTATGAACCAGAACCTTCATCAGAAAACTTCCGGACTTACCCTATCAATACTAAGTACAATTGTGTTTTAACAGCATGAATAAGATTCTAAGCAGCCAATGAATAAAAT